AAAGCATCAGCCCACACTATGTACCCTTGCCCCAGAAAGGCAGCAATTGTTGAACATGCAGGGGACCCTGACAGGCCACACAGCCACAGCTCTGTGACCCGAAGCAGCCCAGAGCCCGAGTTCCTCCTTCAGGCAGCCAAGACCCACGGCCCTTCAGAAGGCTCCACAGGTCGCCCACCCATCAGGGGCCATGAAGTGGCCAAGGAAATCTCCAAGCTGAGCAGCAGGGCCTGCACCTGCAGACAGAGACCTCAACCTCACCCCTCCCCATCCTCGCAAGCCTACAGGCAGGAATGAGGGTGCCGAGGCCTCACAGCTGCTCAGCAGGGAAGGGAGGCGCTGACCCAGCTGGACGGGAAGGCCTGGGCTCTGGGCACAGCCCCCGCCCCCAACTCTGAGAGCAGCCCCGGGGAAAGCACAGCCCCTCCCAACACAGGTGACCTAGGCCCTGGTTAGGAGCTGGAGACTTGAAGGAAAAAGTTACCTTACTTGCCTGCGCCTCCCCACTCTGCCACCCACGCCTCTGGTCCCCTGGCAGGGACTGTGCCCCCGTCAGGACAGCTGGAAGTCCCTGTGCTTCCACCCCCACCCTCTGCTTGTTCCCAACTCCCAGGGTATAACACAGGGGCAGGGTAAGGAGGCCAGGCTGGGGGCGGGCCTTAGAGGGCAAAGGGGCACAGATGCAGAGGAACATAAAGGGCCTCGGAGGACCAGCCAGAGACCCTTCCGCTGTGCTGCCCTGCATCTGCTCAGCGCCATGGTAATGTCTAGTTGCCCCTGTCAGCAGTGGGATTTCCTGGTCAAGAGAGAGCTGAGCGTCTCAGGGGCTCAGGGGTGGGGGAGGGGGTTTATATCATGTTTAGGGGCATCATGATATTTGAATTGCTATGTGTGCCTGGGTGTGCCGGCACAAAAATCTCTGTGCATTGCTGGGGCTGTGAATGTAGGTTTATATAACCGTGTTAGTAGTCCTTGATTTAACATGCTTTATTTAACACCTACTAAGTGTCAGGCACTGTTCTCAGTTTTTGTGATACATCAGTGAACAAAATAGGCAAAGAGCTATAATGGTGCTTATACGGGCAGGGGCACTGCAGAGGGACGAAGACAATTTAAAGAAGCATATAATATAGGAAGTTAGAAGGTGCAACGGGGTCGGGGGAGCAGAGCAAGGTGAAGAGATGGGATGCAATTTTAAATAAAGGTGTCAGAATAGGACCCACTGGAAGGTGAGCTGACGTCTGAAGGCCCCGCGGAGTTGCCCGTGAAGATACCTGGAGGAAGCGTCTTCAAGGCAGAAAGCAACATTTTTTGAGGAACAGCCAGGAGGCAGGAGAGGCAGGAGTGGGGTGAGCGGAGTTATGGAAGAAGTCAGTGGTTAGGGGCTGACCAATGGCTCTATGCCATCCCCGCGCTACTCAGGGCCCACCCCACGTCCCTGTTTGCCTGGTGCTTTCTGTGCGTCACTGTGCAAGTCCAGGGGTGCACCCCTCAGCAGGGGCACCTGGATGTTCCTAACGGCGCTCGTGCACCTGTGTCCACCCCAGAGGCAGACGCCTCCCTGGGTCTGAGGGCCGGGCCCGTAGCTCGCCCACCCTCCAAGCATCAGAGCGGCGGCGTGCCTCGCTTGACCACCCGCGGCTCGGTCTGCTCTGTCCCCTCCAGACGCCGGCTCTGCGCTGCGCGTGCGCACTGGCCCTGACGTGCCTGGCGGTGCTACTGCAGAGGCCCGAGGGTGCCCTGGGGGAGGAGACGCAACTGCAGCAGCCACGTGAGCCCAGGGCGGCCTATTGGCTGAGCACCTTCGGCCAGCTCAACAAGTACTTGGAGAAGCTCTTCCACGGCAGGTAGGCGGCGGAGAGCCGGAGGGACGGAGGAGGGGGGAGGGGGAGACGGACGCCACCCTCCGCACACACCCTGCTGCCGCGCGCCTCGCCGCCCCGTGACCTCTGCAAAGACGTGTTCCCCAGCTCGAAGTCTAAAAACACCAAGAAATCTAAAGGCGTTAAAAACCCCAAGAAAACTGCAAACAGCACACAAATTCCACCAGCGAACGCCACGGCAACCCCTCCACCGAACCCCGCGGGATTCCCACCGCAGAACCCCACGACCCCTCCCCGCAGAACACCGCGAAACCCGGACCACCGATTTCCCCCTAGGGTCCCAGATGGCACCAGTCAGCCTGGGCCCAGCTGGCACCAGTCAGGGGCTTGGGAACTGGGGGCAGATGGGACGGGGGCGAAAGGAAGCCCAGTGGTGGGAGGGCGGGGTAGATACCAGGGCCACAGGGTCTTCCTGGTCCAGGCTGGGCTTCCACGTCCAGATGCCCCGCCCAAATCTCCCCGCCTGCCCACCCGCTTTGTATTAGGAGAGGAGCCCTAACTCCTCCCACCCCACCTCCCAGTGAGTATAATAAAGAGAAATAGAATCTCTGTTGCGTCCGTGACTAATGTGGGTCCTGAACAGGAAGGGACCTGCCTACCAGTCCTTCAAGTGAGAGAGGACCCCGGAGCCCCTGCTGAGAGAAAGACCTCAGCTGCAGGGGCTTCTGCCTCCTCCCATCTACCCCCACCCCCACCCCACCCCCCACTACCAGGGTTGGGGCTCTAACCCAGAGGGAGAACAGAGTGAGAGTATCGGGTTCCAGCATCCTCAAAGGAGGGGCTTCAGCCAGACCCCCACCTCATATTTCTGCACGGAGCAGGGCAGCTCCCATGGCAGCGCTGGGACCTCGGCGCTGGCACCGGGACAGCGGCAGCCTGTCTTGGCCCGTCCCTCAGTGAGCAGATCCTGAGGCACCGCCTTTGCCTCTGGGACCCTCTCAGCCCCACTGGAAGTGAGCGGAGTGGGGCAGGGGGTGGCTGCCCAGCCAGGCCTGTCTCTGTGAAGCGGGATGAGAGGGTGGCGTTCTTCTCTGAGAGCCAGCTGGTGGCCGAGAGAGAGGCCTGGGCAGAAGCAGGTCCAATTCACATGCAGGGATATCCTGAGCAGGGTCCTAATTCCTGCCCCTGAGAGCATCTACAGCTCTCCCTGCTCAGTACCCATCCCTTAGCTGCCAGAGAAAATTCTGGGGCAGGACTTCAGGCTCCATCATCCAGGCCCGAATTCTGATCTTCTGCTGAAACCAGCCCCGCTCCCAGACACCCCTTGGACTTAAGAATCAGCCTGAGCCATGCATTTGCCTGGTATCTGCCTCCTCTCCGGGCTTCGCCTTGTAGGGCCTGGTCCCAATTCCAGGGCATTTGCGCGCACCAGACACAGTCAGGACTGGAGGGAAAACATGATGTGGTGTCGTTGCCAGGGGTCAGCGTGAGATGCTGAGCCCAGGAGAGTGGACCCCCTCATCCACCAAACCCACAAGCCCCATCTCTGTAGGTGGAGCATGTGGGAGAGGCCAGAGAAGCCAGAAAATTTCTGCTTCTCTTCCTTCTTCCTCCCACCCCTACCCCATGACTACTTCTCATCCACAGGCGCTCCTAGCCCAGGAAAAGGGGAGAGAGACAAGCTCCTCCACCTATCAAACACACCCCTGCCCGGCCCCGTCCCCACCCGTGCTGGTGCCTGAGAAGGGGACGGGCTGGCAAAGGCCACTGGGCCCCACGGGGACTCCTCAGCGCAGGCCCCTCTGGGCAGGACATCTTCTGAGCCCTCCCATTGCTGGAGCGCGGAACCCGCAGGTCAGCCTCCCCCCCGAACCTGATTCCCCCCAAGGCCTCCCCTCCTGCCACTGTTTGAATGGCTCCGGTGTCCCGGAGTTCACATTCTTTCAGGACAAGTTATTTCCAAATTTCTGGTTCTTCAAAGATATTTCCTACAGTCGCCTAAAGCCTGCCTTCCAGAGCCCCTGCCACGGGCCTGTCCCCGTCCTTCTCTGCTTGAAGACAGCAAATTATTTCTCTGTGCGCCTTTCCAGCGTATCCGTGGAAACCGCTAGCTGGCTGGTGGCTGTGTCGCCAGTCTGCCCCTTGAAAGCCCCCATCCACGGAGCGTTTCCCTGGGTCAAGGGCTGTGCTAAAATTTGCACATGCGTTGTCTCATGTCCTGCTCACTACCGCCCATTTCACAGATGCGGAACCTGCGGCTCAGGGAGGTTCTATCCCTGCCTGAAAAGCACACAGACAGAAAGTGGCAGGTCCCTATTTGAACCTAGGTTCCCTGGACTCTGTCACCAATGCCGGATCCCGCTATCAGATTGTCACCTGAGCCAGGACCTTGGACAAACTGCTGGACCTCCGTGAGCCTCGGTTTCCTCCTCTATAGAGTGAGGGTAACAGTTACCACCCTCACAGGGTCGCTGAGAGGATTAAAACCCCCTGGCACACAGTAGGCTCCTTCCCCCAACAATCTGCACCTGACAGGTCTCCAGACCCCTCCCCGTCACAGCCGGCCCCGCTCAGCTCCACAACCCCCAGTGGGCTGTGCCCCAACTGAACACGCCCCGTGGCCTGCCCAGGGGGCTGCTCTGATGCCACCCGTGTGACCGTCTTTGTGCCAGTCATTCCTCTGGGAGGGGCTGTCCCCCCTGCCCCCATGCCAAGGACACTAAACTATAGGAAAGAATTGGCGAGGACAGGACTGTCATCGGGCTGGTGATCAGGAAAATCTGTACGTGCCGAAAGGGAAGATTCACGCTCAAGGCTGCCACTTCGCTGACTGGCTGAGTGACCGTGGGCCGGTCCCTGACTCCCGCCAGGCCACAGCTTGCCCCTCTGTGAAGCGGAGAGGGTGAGCGGTTTGGCCCTGATGACCTATAGATGTTCCAGATCATTCGGAACGCCCTCCTCGCCCTTCTCCTGCCTCCGGTCCTCCTTCCCTCCTGAACCTTGGGCTACCCCTGTCCCCGCCGAAGGTCCACAGACAGAGCCTATGTCTTTGATTTGCTTTATTTAGCCCGTGTGGGCGCGAGGAGCAAGCTCAGGCCAGAGCCAAGGGTGCGAAGGGCAGAGCCGGGCGGCACCGCCCCTGGAGTCGGAGGCGGCGGGAGGCAGCGGGAGGCGGCATCACGCGTCCATCTGGCCGAGCTCCCTGTGAGGAGAGGGCAGGACACGGCAGTGTGAGCGAGCAGCCCTCACACCCCCAGGAGACCCCAGCCAGCCCTGGGTCCTTGTTCCCCTCCCCACCCCCACTCCCCTGCACCCGCATTTCAGCCCCTAGGAGCTGGCATTCAGGGCAGGGGATCAAACGCACCTGGGGGCCGCTCTGTTGGGGGAGCCCCACTCCAAGTAGCTCAGTGTGTCTTCTTTGTCTCTTTTCCCGTATCTAGGAGGGGAGAGGCAACTGGGGCAACCGAGCACTGTGCCCGGGTGCCAGACCACCCGCTCCACTCCTGCCCCTGGGCACCATTCTGCCAGGGGCCCCGGCCCAGGCCTGGGCAGCAGGGAGGCTCTGCTTTCCCAAGAACGTGGAAGGGGAAGGGGCTGGGCCTCTCCCTGGCTCACGTACGCACCTGGGCCTGGTCAGCATGTTGATGTATCTGCGGAGCTCAGCCGCATACTGGGCCATCTGCTCCGGTGTGGCGTTGTCCCCTGGATACACTGGCTCCAGCGGGGCCCCACAGGCCCCCAGTGGTGGCTGCAGCAGCACAGCCACACATGTGGACAGGAGCAGCAGGGAGAGGCAGCGGCGCGCGGCAGCCATCTGAGGAGCAAGGGAGGGGGGGGAGATGGAGGCAGAGCAGAGCTCACCGGCCCAGCCCTTAGCCCATTGCCCATTTCTCCAAGCCTGGGGACAAGGAGGCGGAGCAAAGAGCCATTCGACCCAGCACCCCACCTCCGGGACGCTGCCCTAGAAAGCATAGAGAGCTCCTCTCATGAGCAGCGCGGAGGCCGGAGCTCAGCCAGGGCCTCAGCAAAGGAGAAAAGTGTAGCAGAGAAAATGAGGGCATGGGGCAGGAGACGCAGGGCGCAAATGTCCAAGGCGTCGTGGCTCTGAGGAGGCAAGTGTGGGGCGTGGGTTAGGGGCAGGGGGTGGTAGAAGTAAGGGCGCTCCTCACCTGCAGGGCAGGGCACACAGAATGAGCTGGGGACCAAAGGACAGAAATCAGTGTCCTGTGGGTCTGCCCCTGACCCCCACCAGAGATAGACACACAGAGACAGGCAGTCACGGTCACACACATGGATCCCAATCCGTCACAGGGTCGAAGTCACTCACACATTTGTATTGACAGCCACCGCCAACCACTCACCACACACATTTACAGCCTTCTAGTCAACTGCCCTTCCAGGGTGACAGATTTGTCAGATATAGAGCCAGACCCAGGCCTCCGGAGCCCCCTGCTCAGCAAAGCACCCACTCTTTCCCCCCACCCCAGGCCCGAGCCCCAGGGAATCCCCCAAAGTCCTCCGGACCTTGGGGCAGGCTGAGCCCACTTACCCTGAGTCCCGAGCAAGTGGGCTCTGGACCAAGCAGGTGCCTGCCTTGGGCTGGATGGTCCCCTGCGCTCAGCCTCGCCCCTTTATAGTCCCCAGCCCCCCAGAGTCCCCGCCCTCTGTCAGCCTCTCTCCCCCGCCCTCACGCCCGCCTCCCACAGTCTCCCTGGTGCCTGCAATGCCAGCTCATGGGGGCCAGGGACAGGAGAGGGATCGGGCAGTGTTGCAAGTGCCAGGTGTAGCAGTGTGACGGGTAAAAAACTATTGTAAGTCTCCCGTGGGCCCCTGTCTGCCTTTGGGCACCAGAGCAGGCTTGTCCAAGGGGGATGGGGCTCTGAGGTCTCCGAGGAACGAGCAGCTCTGGCTGCAAGCCCTGGAGCAGCCCCCGCCCTCAAGGGCTAACCCAAAGCACCAACGGAGTTTCCTTGGGCCAGAGGGATGATGCTGGGGCTCTGAGGCCAGGGGTGAGGGGTGGAGGCCTGAGACTTCCTTAAAGTCTGCAATTAGAACGAGGTGGAAATGGGGGACATGCCTCAGGTAACTAGGCAACGTGGAAAGAGGTAGGGACCCAGGCAAGGAGAAGCCCGCTCCCTGGCTGGTGGGCAGGAGGCAAAACTAAAAATGAGGTGCCTGGGCCCAGGGAAAATGGGGGTGCCAATTACTGGTAGCTGCTTCAGAGCCCCCATTCCAGGGGTGTGATAAAAGTCAGCATCACCCCGGCTGGTGTGGCTGGGTGGATTGAGCACCAGCCTGCGAACCAAAGGGTGGCCGGTTTGATTCCCAGTCAGGGCTCATGCCTGGGTTGTGGGCCAAGTCCCTGGTGGGGGGGGGTGTGTGAGAGGCAGCCACACATTGATGTTTCTCTCCCTCTCTCTCTTCCGTTCCCCTCTCTCTAAGAATAAATAAATAAAATCTTTTTTTTTAAAGCCCACATCATTTGTAAAGTCTTGCATTTTCCAGAGTGTCCCCAGCTCAGCCACCTTGCTGAGTCCCTGTGAAAACCCATCTTGCAGATTCAGAAACGAAGACTCAGAGCCATGAAGCCTGACGTAACTAGTCAGTCGTGGATTCAGGGTTTGAAATAAAGTCCAACTTCAAAATCCGATTCTATTTTTCTAAGTGGGGCTGTCAAAGTTTTGCTGGACTCCCCCGCCTTTTGTCTGAGAAACCTGAGGTTCACAGAGGTGAGACGCTTGCCCAAGATCACCCAAGTTCTGGCCTGGGTCCAAACCCCGCCCCCATCCCAGCGGCCCGCCACCCCCACGCAGGAGCCTCCCCTCTCCCCCGCTGTGTCCTTTTCCACCCCAGGCCAAGGAGCAGCACGGGGCTGCGTCTGACTGACACACAGGAGCCTGCGAAGGGAACAAAGGACCCTGAGGTTCTGCTGTCCCGGATCAAGACACCACAAGCGGGTGTTAGGAGAGGAGTTGGGGTACGGGGGTAGGGACTGGAGGTGATAGCACAGGGATTTTTTTTTCCACCATTTTTTAAAAAATTTATTTACTTTTCAAATACATTTGTCTCTGCCTCCCCCCCCACCTCTTTCCCTTGCCCCCTCCCACCTTCCCTTCCTCAGCTCTTCCCCTTTGGTTTTGTCCATGAGTCCTTGCTATATGTTCCTTGACTTTCCCCTTCCCTTCCCTTTCCCTGCCCCCCCCCTTCCCTCTTGTCTCTGTTGATTTCTTTTCCTTTCAGTGTTGCTGGCCATATTTTCCTTGCATCTTTGCATTGTTGGTTAGGTTCCGCTTATAGGTGAGATCATATGGTATTTGTCTTTTGCCCCCTGGCTTATTTCGCTTATCATGATGCTCTCCGGTTCCATCCATGCTGTCGCAAAGTTTAGTACTTCTTTTTTTCTTTCTGCTGCGTAGTATTCCATTGTGTATATGTACCATAATTTTTTGATCCAATCATCTACTAATGGGCATTTAGGTTGCTTCCAACACTTGGCTATTGTAAATTGGATAGCACAGGGATCTGAGCGTCGCTTTTCCTGGAGACAGCGAGGAAACAGCGATGTTCGGCTTATTGCTCTCACTCCTGGCAAGAACAATAATGCTTCAACCGGCAACTTACTTTCCACAAAGCAAATATGGAGGTGGTTCTGCCTCCGTTAAGCCCCTGCATCTGGTCCTCGGTTCTGACTCGGCGAAACAAGGGAGGTGAATTAGTGACGGGTCCCAGGTGGGGCCTCTAGCGAGGCAGGCAGAGGCTGCAGCGTGCCACCAGGGGGCGCCAAGCCCCAGCCCTAGTTGGAAAGGTCTGCGATCCCCCGGGACTACAGCCTGGTAGGACCTGTTCTGGCGACGCTCATCAGGTACCAGCCCCCACGGACAGATGGCGGATCTGGGGATTGACTCAAGTGCTGAGGCCATTTAGAGTTTTGTAAACAGTTCTGTCACTGCCTAAGAAATGACAGGTACTTCACAATGTCAACTGAACCTGTAGCTTTCCTTTTTCTCCTTTGCAAACAACAGATTCCTCTTCTGGGTCCTCTCCGGATGTTGGGACAATCGAGGGGGAAGATGTGGATGTGCTTTCTAAACAGCATGACCATGTCCAGAAGAGCAGTGGTTGGTTCGCACTCACTCACCTTCCTAAGTTCCAGAGCGAGTCAATGAGCCCTGCTTAGAGAAGGCACCGAGTCCTTACTTGAGATGGACTAAATGGAAATGAGAGCGACCCTCCCCCCACCCATCCCCATGTCCCTGGGACAGGGCGTGGCCACAGGGCAATGTGGAGGGTGGAGTGAGGGCTGCGATGAAACTAGGAAAGGAACACCCCGGGAACCCCTGGGGTCACAGCTTAAAGGTGAGCGTATAGCCGCGAGGGGGACGGAGGTCCCCACATAGGAGGCTGCGAGGAGTTTGACCAACATCATGTCCTCCATGCCCCCTCTCACAAGAGTGTCTCCAAAGCTACCGTGTAGGCCCGCCTACCCAGGAACACCACGCCAGAGAGGCCCCGTGTAGGTGCTGCGTCACCAACCCCAGCGGAGCTCCCTGCCGGCAGCCAGCAGCCCCCACCAGATGTGCGGGCGAGCCTCCCTGGACGTCAGCCCGGGGGAGCCTTCAGATGGCCGCAGCCCCAGCCAGCCTCGGACGGTCCCTGTGTGAGAGCCTCTAAGTGGCACCTGCCTCGTCCAGCCCTTCCAACCGGACCTACAAAATCATGAATAAAATATAATGGTTGTTCTAAGCTCCTACGTTTTAGGGAAACTTGTTGTGCAGCATAGTTACCAGCACACCTACCATTTCTCCACCCCTCCTTCCCACTGGCTGGACCACCAGAAGGGGCGATGGTGGGCCACCTTCAGTCATGTAGATGAAGGTATAGGGAAGTCACAAAATAGCACCCTGGGCCCTTGGATGTCCTCCTGGAGCAGAGCTGCCGACTCCCCAGATGCCACTCACATTTTATGTAAGAGAGAAACAAACTTATATCTTGTTTAAGCCACTATTAACTCTGTCTCTATTTAAGAAGCCAAATCAATATCTTAGTAATATAATGCATGTTTAAAACAAATAGCTCAGTGTCTATTGTATAAGTGCTTTTTTAAAAAGGTATCTATTGCTATCATCGTTGATAGCACATCTGCCCTGGCCCGGTGGCTCAGTTGGTTAGAGCACTGTCCCGATCCACCAAGGCTGCAGGTTCAATCTCCCATCAGGGTGCATACAAGAAGCAACCAGTGAATGCATAAATAAGTGGAACAACAAATCAATGTCTGTCTTTCTCTCTCTCTCTCTCTCTCAAAAAATAAATTTAAAAAATTTAAAAACTACATCGAAGGCTCCCTCTGCTCCAGCGTTGGCTGAGCCTGGTCAGCAGTGGATTAACCACTTTCGCAGCATTCTTCCGTGTAAACGAGAACTTAGCCCACGTCACTGAGGATCAGCCAGACCTGTCGAGCTGGGCAGAAATTGTGGTTGCGAAGAATTCATACCAAGGGTCTGTCACAGTCTCAGACTGGCCACAGTCCTCCCAGACCGGACAACAGATAAGGAACTATGGACAACAACATAGACACATATCCTCCCACTCACCTGACAACAAAATAAACCAAGGCTCATGGCAGCCATTTTTGTTCCCATCCTACCTCTCCCGGTGCCGGGAGAGTGGGATTGGAGAAGAGAAGATAAGAGGGAGATGAGATAGGAAGTGGGTCTCAGACAATGATTATACAGTAGAGAGAATAGAGCAGAGAAACTAACTCTACCCTGAGAAATCAGGAAAGGCTTCTGGGAGGAGGCGAACACTACCCTGAAG